TTAACGTTCCAAGATATAGCGTTCATTTTGCCTTGCTGTCTTCGATAAGAATTGATACTCGATTCGATGAGTCAAGTGATGTCATTCCTCGTATACTTCTGCTTCCTCTTTCTTTCTAGATAATGCTATCTGCACTTATTGCAGGAGTGGATGCCTCGAAATGTGGAACTACTCGAAATAACCGTGATCGCGAAATGGTAGTTCCACGCTTACAATAAAGCCCTGATGCTTGTTTCAAACGAGTTCCAACGTCGTGAACTATTTGATATAATCGCGACTTTGGAAGCATTATGCATCTTCCACGAAGATCTTAAATGCGATTGCAATACACGCTTGTAAATTGCGTGGAAACACGGGCCGTGAAATCGTCAAAGAATAATTGAAATCAGTGATATGGATGCACCTTAGAGAAATTGCGTCTCTCTGCTGCTCTAATCTGCGTAAAACAACATGGAGATGAATGGGTAATTCTGTGAAAATTTTGTGGAGTATAATTTGACGAGAAATACGAATCACGATATCGTCGTATATTTGTACAGTTAGAAAAATATTTTTGAAATTTTATTTAAATTAGGATGCTAATATTGATGGATATCACTTTAAAGTTTATTTCTCTTGGTAGAAATTTTATTTTCTTGGAACAAGAACTTGATTTATCTTCGATAAAATTATCTTCTCTAGAGGATAATGAAAAAAGGATTCAAGAAAAATAAGAAAATAATTATAAGTCAATAAATTAATATTTTCAAAATATTATAATGTATAAATGAGTAGATAAGAAAATTATAATATTTTATAAGAAAATATTAGGAAATTTAATTCTTATGATATAATAAGAAATTGAAAGATAATAAAATATAATGAAAATATTTAATTACTTTTCATAATTACCATATTTAATTTTTTTTTTAAATAATAATTTTAAATAATAAACTATAATGTTTTTATTTTATCCTTTCTTTTTTCTTTATTTTAAAATTTTTTTGGTTTCGTATTCATCCCTTGATTATATCTGAGATATTGTGAGGAAATATATTTCTGATGCATTTACAATATTAACATAATGCATTCCTAAACTAACTAAACTATATTCTAAACTAATTTCTACATTATTTTAGAAATAATGATAAAACTTCAAATAATAATCAGATAATAAAATAATATAAATGATTTAAAGTACCATATAAAAGAACTATTATTTTATTTTTATATAATTTTTATATAAAATAAAACAAAAATCTCTTCTTCTTTGATTCTATATCTACCAATCAATTTTCAAATATTTTATTTAAATATTATCCAAGTTTGTCCCTACAATTTTAATCTCCAATCTGCTATTTCGTAATCGAATTGAATCTGATCTCCATTCAATAACTATTTAAATATCGTTTAAGGTACAAGCAAAGAACAGAATGGGACTTAATTAGAAACACTTGGTTGCAATACGATGATCTCTCCGTGAATGGTTATCAAACGGTCTGATTACCACTGGAAAATTCAACTGGAATGTCGCTCGGAGGCTCGAGGATAATTGATTTCGTCTAAAGCAAAGCTGGCGGAGTTTCATTCAGTATACGAAGCTCTGTGCAAAGGTTATTGCGTTTGCTCCAATTATTCATTAACTTTCACGGTAAAATTAACGGATAATGAAGCAGAGGAAAAGTTGAAGTTAAAGTCGCAATTCATCCCTAGTGTACTGAATCGAAGAGGGCGCGCCCTCTTGTGTTACACGTTTTCATAAGAAATCTACTTAATGGATCTCGAAATAACTTAAGTAGGAAACTGAAAATACAATTGTTATTTCCTTTATATCTGTATTTGTATTATAGAAAGATCATAAATTGAGGAATCAGATTAAATGGAGCATTTTCAGATTTCGCGTATTTCCATCATTAACGAAGTTATACATACGTATAAATTTAGAATACTTGTATCGATTGTTATATCTTATTATGTTTTTGACTTATTTTATATTATAAATTGTAATATTATCAAATTGAAGATAAATAATTTTAGCAATTGTTTATAAAAAAATATTATTCTTTGATTTTTAATATATTATGTTTATTATACATTTCGATAATTTTTTTAATTTATTGTCATCACTTGAGTTGAATATAAGGATTTTGCTTGACAGTTGATCATTAAAAAGTTATTAATAAAATCTTTTCTTTGAAATTATATGTTTACGTTAGTTTTAATCAGATTAGTTTTAATCAGATTTATTAATATAAATTAATAGCCGATTAAATTGAATAACTCAATTCAGCTCAAATTCAAACTATTAAATCTATTAATTGAATAAGTTTTTATTTAATTTTAATTTGGTAAGATTAAACTTATATCAATTGATGTCACAAAAATTTATTAAATTTTTTTACGCTATATATTGTGTTTAGATTAGATTAAATTAATAACTTTTTAATAAACAATTAATAACAACAACTGCCAAATAAAACCACAATATTATTCAGTATAATGATTTTGACAACATGTTAAAACATCATCAAAGTCGGAAGATGATACCTTTTTATAAATATTTACACAATTTTAACTATTAATTTATTTATTTAAAAATCTAAGATGTTTATCTTTTTTAATTTCAAAAATAATTTTTTAGATTTGTGATACTCTACTTAGTGAAACTTAAAAAATGTTAACTTAAAAAACCTAAAAAATCAAACGAAGCTTCAAAAATAAAAGATTTTCAGTTTCTAAGAAAAAAAATATGTTATATCTATAAAATGATTTAGTTTATTGGAATATTATATTATTATAATTAATTATTATAATTAATATTATTATAATTATTATTATAATTATTATAATTAATTTAAAAATAATTTCAATACTTTTGTTTTTCTTTCTTTAACAATCCAATAAACTAATTTGCTTTTAATACTATATCATAAAATAAGTAATCAAATTTTAAATAACATGTTAAAGTAAAAAAAATTTCTAATGCAAACTTTAATAAATAAACTTTAAATAACATATATGTATGTTATTTTTGATCTTTAGAATCGATTTTTGAAAACTATCCCAAATATCAATATTCTACAAATTTATAGATATAAATCACGAACACGAAATTTCTGTGAATAAGAATATCAACTATTTAATCTTCATTCGTCAATTCCTCTTTATTGTATTATAACTATTCAAATATCAAATAAAACCAAAAATCGTTCAGAAATTTTATAGAAATTATATAGACAATAAAATAATTTCAAAAAGAAAAGAAGAAGAAGAAGAAGAAGAAAAGACACATGAAAAGAAAACATAAAAAAGAAAGATAAAAAAAAACGATTGTCATTGTCGTATAAATTTGCAATGTGTTCTGATCATTGATATTTTCGCCAAGTTCGCGATTCACATCCTGTTTGTCTGTGAAAAGGAGACAGCATAGCTTGCATCCGCAAAAAAAGTAATATTTCACCTGAATGGGAGAGATCGTAAGGCCAATATCAGCGTATATCGCCGGTGACAGGGTGCGTTTCAAAAGCGGATTAGTTCCGGTATTGTATTTACAGGTGGTCGTGAAGTGAACGGCTTAGTTGCAAAATTGGCCGTGCGATTCGTGATGCATCATAACTCCACGACATTCGTCGTTTTCCAGTCGGTTTTTTGAAAATTCCTCATCGAGAAGGACTTTCGTCGAAAGAGTGGCAATCAATGATCTCGAAAACTGATTGCTGAACATTTTGGAGGAAGACAATTTTATTTCGATTTTTTTTTCTTTTCTTTCTTTTTTTTTTTTTTTTTTTTTTAAGAGAGATTGGCAATAATTGCTCGTATGATTGAATGAAAAGAACTCGGTACATATGTAATTAATTGTTTTATTTTAATTGTTTCGAATGAAATTTAACTGGTTTTGTGTAAAAACAAGATTGATTGCACGATGTTCAAACGTGATTTATGAATTCAGATTAAAAGCTAGAATATTGTCACAAATTTGTATTAACACATTTTCCTGAAATTGAGATTGTAATTTAAACTGTGTGTCAATTTATCAATTTTATTAATATATGGTATTTAGGATTTTAATATGTGATATTTAGGATATTAATAAAAGTGAATAAAAGGATGACCATTTTTCGAGATGAAATTAATTATCGATCAGCTGCTTTTAGAACGAATAATGACTTATTACTGGAGGATTATTTTAGAACGGTATAATTATGGAGAAGAGAAATTTCTTTATCATGTTGGATCTTTTAAATTAATTAAAGGTATTAAATAGGCTTTGATTATTTTATTTCTATTCCATTTATTTAATATTATTCCCATAACATATATAATGAATAATGTAAATAATGTAACATATATAATGAATCGATATTTGATAAAAAATTTATTTAAAAAGAAAGAATTCTACTTCCTAATAATTTTGAGTTTGTCTTTTTCAAAAATATTTTTATATCATGTAACAAATAGAAAAATAAATAATAAAAATATAATTTCTCAAAAATTTTGAAAAATTCAAATTTAATTGTAAAGTTTCTCAATCTTGAAATTTGGAATCTTTAAAGTTTAATCCAGACTGAAAGATATTGAAAACTAATAACTAATAATTTCAAATAATTTACATGTAATATCTGATAACATTATCCGATTATTCACATAAAATGTATGCAATGTCATATATCCATATTTGACAATATATTTAACTTAAAACGAAAATTAAATTGTTAAGTCGATTTATCATGAATTAATTATTTAATAGATATTGCTTTCCTTCATAATTGAATGGTATTGATATTTATACTATTAATTTCGAATTAATAACAAAATAAAAAGAAAATTCGATATAGCTACATCATAGAAAATAATTTTTTATATCTACATAAAAAAATACCTAATATAAAAATTGATTATATTTTTATTTCTAATAAATATATATATTATTATTTCTAATTATATAACGTATATATTTCTGATATATTTGTATATTATAAAATGAGAGCATTTATTAAAATTTTTTTTTATGAATAACTTACCGAAAATGTCATTTGGATAAATTAGGAGAGCTATTAACACCATTAGAAGCGCTTTTTGCCGATCCACCATTTTGTCACGGTCATCGATCCACCTGCAACAATGGAAAAAGTTAATCAAATGTACGGAAAAAAGGTAACACATCCATTATAATTAAATCACAACAATTAATTCTTTTTTTATTTATTAACGAATGGAATAATTAATTTTAACTTGTTAAAATTCCTGTCTCATTGTCGTTATAATAATATAAATTAAAACTTTTTTTTTGTTTGTGTATTGAAATTTCGCAAATATTTCATTTATTTCATTTAAATATGTTGAATTAATAATACAATAAATAAATAAATAAATAAATAAATAAATAAATAAATATAGAATTCGAATATAAATAACTTGAAATCGATTATATATTTTCACAAACTTTGTCAAATATCTTTCTTATTTGAAATAATATGAGAAAATATTATTTAAAAAAATTATAGGATTTTAAAAAAATACATATTATGAAAATTAATTTGATGATTTTCATATTATAAATACCTTTATATATTTTCAACATTTCAGAGTGGTTAAAAGAGATCTAAAGAATAATTTTTTTTTTTTGATCGACGAATTTTTTATGCAAAATTTTGATAAAATAACAAATATAAAAAAATAAAGATATATTTTTTTTAGAATTAAAATTATTATTTTTAAGATATTTATTTTATAATTCATGTTAACATTTTCATTGAATATAATACATGTTCGAAATGTTTGAAATGAACATCATATTGATACAATCTTTAAATTGTTATAATTCTTATTCGTCTTATTCGTCTTAAAATTTATTTGTGAATGAGTCATGCAACTATAATTTTGATTTGCATTTTAACTATGATTTGCATTGGATATAGAATTTTTAATGCAACATTATTTATTTCTTTCAATTTTTTATATCATCCCTTAATCATTCAATGCAATAATAGCGAATGAATTAGTTTAAATTTTATTATATAAACTTTGTATTTTGATTAAAATCTTCTTATTTCCCCTATAAATGAAAATCTATCTATTTAATTGTTGTTTAAATCAAAATTTTATGTTGATTATTTTACTTATTTACTCATTTTACTAACAAAAAAAGTAAGAAATCAACAGATGTCGAAAGTTCAAAATATTACTATTTACATTTATTTACTTTTCAATATTACGAAATTATAATTTAATTCCTAATGAAAATAATAGAATAAATTCAAATATCTCAGAAATGTACATCATATGAAAATCACCCATAAAAGTCTTCATATATTATCTTACAACAGAATCTGATTTCAAAATCCTGATTTTGAATGAAAGTTCATGCGTACATAATGAGCTATATATAGAGAAATTTTTTTTTTTTAGAAATAGTTTTATTTTTTCAAATTGTTGAATATAATTTTGTTTAAAAATTTTTTTTCTTTTATCTCAGCATTATATTTAAAATTTTGTTTTATTTTCCCATGCAGAAATACATTAAAACTTTGAACATTGGTTCATATTTTAAAATAATATTTTGTCAAAAAATATTACACTTTATATAACCCATTATATATTACATATTTATAAAATTTCATTAAAAATAAAAAATTTCAAATATAATAATTAGTATTTATATACTTGATATTCATTATTTTTTCGAAATCAAATATGAAAAATTAAATATTCCTTTTAAAGAAACAAAATTGATTTCTATATCTATATAAATTTCATTTATGCATTCATTTTTCAATTACTATATTGTGTAAATATTTTTTAAATTTTACAATTTTCGTACACAATATTTTTTCGTATTTGAAAAAACAAAGATATGTTAGATTTAAACAAAATTCGTGAAACTACATATTATCGAAATCAAATTTTTTTTATAATGATTATTAATTATGATCTTTTTAAAATTATTCAGAACACATTATTCATATTAATTAATATGACATCACTAAATATCTCGTTGTGGTTTTCAAATAGCTATATCCCATTCAAGAACTTGATTAAGTGCGAAATAGTAAGATTAAGGCAGAAAATCTGCGATCTGCTTCAATTTAATTCCAATTCGTTTTGTCCTTTACGAGGTATAGTAAAAGGAGCTTGTTGGAAATAAAAAAAAATAAAGATAAAAAAGAAAAAAATTGGAACTTTTTTTTTTTATGCTAATCGTAATATAGTTCGATTCGAGTAGAGTTGAAAAACTGAAAGAAACTTTAAATCGAATTAAAAGAACAAAAAAGATATTTTGTAAAGTTATAAGATATAAACTATTATTCTTTATTACTTTTTTAGGGAATAATTAGATTATATTAGATATATTTAATTAAATAATTAGATATTGATTATTAAATATCATTCTATATGAATAAATAAATAATAATAATGATTTTTTAACATCTTATATCGATAAATAAAATAATAGAATAAAAAATTTTCTTTAATATTTTTAAATTATTTTGATTTCATTCTATAATATCTAAAGAAATATTTAGTACTCAGTTGTTCCAAAAGTTCTTTTTGTTTTTCTACAAAAATTAAATTTATCTAATCTAAACTAATCCTCCATCTTTTTGAAACTATTGAAGATACAGTCAATAGTAATCATTGTAAATTGAACGTGAAAAGTTCTGCAACGTCATTTTTTGTTGAAATATCTAACCTAATCCTCCATTATTTTGGAACTATTGAAAATATAATCAATAGTAGTTATTGTAAACTAGTTAAAGTTGAATATGAAAATTTCTGCAGTTATTATTTGTTGAAATATCTAATGCTCGAAAATTGTAGCATAATTTAAATTTTAATTTTAAATTAAAAATTTTAAATTTTAAATTAATCAGTATTTATTTTGAAATTTGAATCTCTGTTTATTTATTGATTAAATTCCAAACCTTTTTTGCATATAAGTATAAATCAAAATATTGGCATTTTTATCTTGCTGATTTGTAGAAACTATTGATATCCGATATTCATTTTTCTAAAATTAAAATTTTAATTGTAGGGATAATGAATAATAATTTTTATAGTTGAATAATTTTTTATTGCATGTTTTTATTTGTTTGTATTTATCATTAATGTAAATCTTTTAATCTTATATTCTTTATATGCAATTTTTCTTATACTTTCAATAATTTTTAGCTTCTAAAATTATATAATATTATATATATAATATTTTCTGTTCCATTCCAATACTTACAAGGCAATGTGGGATTATATATTATATAAATTCCGAAAATTTAAAAAATTATAAAATTTTGGGAATAACTAAAAGATATATATGTAAATTATGAAATTGTTTTTTTTACTTTTCAAATTTAATCTAAAGAGATAAAATTGATCTCTAAAAATATAAATACAATAGATTTTCACTTATAAAAGGTCAAACATATCCATGTAATTAAGTTATTCATATAGTATGTAATTCCTTCACTAGTTCGTCTAATTAGGAATCCACATTATATAACGATTTCATGAAACATTTTCTCTAAAATACATAATAATATATCAATTATTCCAAAGTTAAATAAACAAATTTACAATAATAATTATCTAATATTGAATGAATTAATAAAAAAATTTACATAAATGCTTAGTTCAAATATGGAGGAGCTCAGATAAAATTTGAACAATCAAATATAATATAAAATTTCATTTATATAAATAGAATTCATACAAATATTTTATTGTATCTTATGATTTTATATTTTATAATTTGCAAACTTTGAAAAAAAGAACTTTCAAAAATAAAAATCTTTTTATTAGGACTATTATTTAATAAAAAATTATTTAATAAAAAATTTAATAAAAAATCGAATATTTTGATTAGAAATATTCAGAAGAATTATATAGAAAGTTATAAAATTATTAATTATTTTTAGTAACAATTTGGATTAATCGCATTTTTATATGATATTCTTTTTGTATGGTATCTACAGATATTCTGATATTCAATCACTTTCAAAAATACAAGAACTCAAATAAAAGTTAAATTAAAAATTTTTTTTGTAACTTGAAAAAATTCTCCAAGAAAAAAATTTATAGTATATAAGAAAAAATATTATATATAATGTATTTATAAATAAAATGATGTATTTATAATAATGTATTTATAAATAAAATTATTACTGTTATTTTTTAATTTTTTATTTGTTAATAAAATTAGAGATAAATTTATCTATCTGCAATTAGAAAATTGATTCCAAATTTTTTAACTAATAATATTATATAAGCAAACATCTAATAATATTTGAACTATAGAAAAATCAAAAATATCAATTTTATTAATGTATAATAATTATGTTTATTTTATTTAAAACTGTTAATTGTTTTTAGAAAATTGAGAATTTTTAAAATTATTAATTTAATTTTAAATGTTTTCTATTTGATTAACTAATATTCTAAGATAAAAATTTTAAATATTCCATTATTGTTTAAAATTTATTATTCATTCATCATTTTTTTTATTATTTTTCTCATAAAATATGCAATTTCTCGTTCAATAATAAAATTCAAATCCTATTCTTTTAATACAATTCTATTACTACTATATTAATTGTCTTAAATTATATCATTTATATATCACTTATATGATATTTCGGGACAAAGAGGTTTATTTAAGAAAATGAAGATAAAACTCGTGAAGTTAACTCGTATAAAACTAAAATTGTCTGAAAAAAAAGAATAAAAAACTTGACTTTTATTTGAGTCTAATTTTTTCAGGAACAAGTCGCATATAAATGTAAAGAATAATAGAAACATAAATTAAGAACTTTAAACGAGAAGAAACTAAAATGTAAAAAATTAAAGTTATATGATTATCGTGATTCTTTTTAAAATATGAAAAGCGAAATTAGATATGAAAATTAAATCAGTTTATGATAAACAGAAATATGGATTTAATTTCGATCTCAAGTTTGATTTTTTATATTATTTGTATTTTTAAAATTAAATTTTTATAAATTACAAATTACAAGATTAAATTAAATTGAAATAATAGAATATTGATTATTCAAACATATATTTAAAATATAAAATTTATTATACTATAATATAAAAATTTG